GGCGATTTATAATCTAAATTGTAAAGAGTCCCTTAGAGAAAAATTTAAAGAAATAAACATATTAACTTTGGCATCGCAATATATTTATGAAAATGTAATGTATGTACATAAAAACATAAATAGCTTTAATAAGAATAAGGATGTTCATACCTTAAACACTAGGAACAAACATAAGCTTGTAATGCCACTTACAAGACTCCACAGAATTAGTAATTCATTTATGGGGCAATGTATACGCTTTTACAACAGAATCCCAGAACATGTTCAAAGTTTGTCAATAAACAAGTTTAAAAGTTTTATTAAAGAAAAACTGTACAAAAAGGGTTATTATAATATCAAGGAATACATGAATGAAAATAACCCCTGGGAATAAGGTGATCGCCACCATGCTGGTTCTATGAAAATTCATTTAAAATTGTATAAACAAAATTATTGTTAAGTGAAATTATGTTTAAAAAAAAAGTCCCGCTGGGTTTCTTGCTGGTTCTTCCCAGGACAGAGGTATTTTCCGAACCAGTGGTAAATAAAATAATGACTTTCAATAAGTATTATGTAATAATCCATATTGAATAAAAATCATTCTATTCTATTCTATTCTAGATCACAGCTTCCACAGATCATCAGAGTTCTTTTCTCTCAGGTTCTCGTTTGTAACCCTTACTTTTTTTAAAGAAGTAAGAATTTCAGGTTTAATAGTTTATTCAATACAATTTATTACATTTAATCATACGGTTACTTGTAGTTTTGAGATGGTCTACAATAACTTTACATCGTTATATACAGGGTATTTTTGGAACGCTCCCGAAAACTAAGACAGGCGACAACACCAAGTATACCTTTGATCATGGGTCACAAATAAATTCGATCCTGATGAAAAAAAAATCATCTTTTTACAACGTTTTATTAGCTTTATTCACGCGCCATCATGTTAGTACAGCTAAATGAAACGCTACTTTCATAAAAAATATCATGAAAATACTGAAACATAAAACCAGCAGTGGAATGACTGAATTGATATCACCTGACTAAAGGTCAATAAAGATCAATGGCCGCGCGAACGCAAATTCGCGCGGCCCGCAACTAGCGGGCAATACCACATTACCTAATAATTTACAACACTTGTCTAAATACCTAACTTATCTACTTAACCTACTATTTTGCCACTGTACTTGTCTCCACGTAGCCACTTTAATACGAATTTACAGGTTAAATAACCCAAATAACTGGTTCGATTCCCCGCTAATGAAAAAATACTTAAATTAATGAAATGTAACCAAGATTGGAGTCATGCATTTTTATTCATCGTGTAGGTATGTTTATTATTCTCATGTATTCAGTTATGTACCTATTCAGATTAGTCCAGTATTAAGTTATTTAAAAAAAAAGTACTTATGAAACAGCTTACCGCTCTAAATCCTCCGTGGACTTATGAGATGCGGCTCAAATTGTGCTCCATTCATTTCAAGGCAGATTTGGGCTCGGTGTTGCATCTCCTCATGCAGGCGGGGCATCATCGTGTAGTCTTCGACACAGTCCGTATGTAGTTTGTCGAAAACATCCACGATCCTTTTGTAGTTTCGTCAGCACTATCACACTCACGATTAAAAACCCTTTCTTTCACATACCCCCACAGAAAGAAGTCTAACGGGGTCAGATCTGGCGAGCGAGGTGGCCAACCGAGTGGTCCTAGTCCGCCAAATTCAGCGATTATCAAATAATTCGGTGAGGCGCTCACAGACGAACCTCACGACATATGGAGGTGCACCATCATGCTGGAACCATGGTCGGCGATATTCAGCCAACGATAGGTCGTCTAAAATGTCAACCAACTGTTCACTTATAAAGTTTAGGTATCGCTGTCCGTTCAGTCGCTGTGGCAGAAACACTGGTCCCAGTATGCGATCCTTAATACCTGTCCATACGTTAACCGACCATCGGGTTTGGTGCCCGGTTTGTCGAACAGCGTGCGGGTTAACCTCTGAATACACGTGTGTATTTCTTCGGTTCCACAGGCCGTTTCTGGTAAATGTCGACTCATCCGTCCAGATAATGTGCTCAATGGAACAAGGCACACGTTGTTGCTGGTATAATAACCAACGGCAGAAAACTCGTCGGCGGTCGTGATCGCCGGGAACTAAAGCTTGCACTTTGTGCAATTTGTATGGGCGCATCCGGTTACGCTTCAACACTTTGTGCACTGCAAAGTATGACACACTTGTTCCATCCCGACGTCTTAACAATTTATTTAGCGATACTTCGTGTACCTAGGTTCGGATACCTAACATGTTGAGCACTATAAACGTACGCGTTAGGCATTATTAAAACAAAAAAGAATCCAAAAACGTAACAACAACAATAATATGAACACGTAATCACAAGTAAATTTATTAAACAAAACGATTGAACTGTCGCTCGCGCACGCGTGTACAAAATCAACACGGAACTGTCTCAAAAACTAAAACGAACGAACCCCGCCAAGGCTGAAACCTACTGCGTCACAAGCGTGAGGCGACAGGGTTAGGCATTCTGCCGTCATAATAAAGAAGGATGCAACTAACAAAAACGTAAAATCGAAATAAAAAATAAATAGATGAATTTTTCTTTCAGACCCTGCTGTGTCTAAAGTATATTAAAAGGTATCAATATGAAAATTGAAATACGTAGAGACTTGAAGATTTTAAAGACGAACTTATTTTTTTGATAATTTGTTTATTTATTTAAATAAAACGAATTTTCTTTTTCATTTTAGCTTAAAAAATACACCTGGCCACATAAAAACATCGAATGAAAGACGCATATAACCATTTTGCGTCTTTCCAACGTAATAAATAAAAAAACTGCCATTTATTTAACATTTTTACATATTTTGGAAAGGTCATTTGAAGTTGAAAGGACGCTAATAGTAATTTACTACTTTTTTTATTATTAGTAAATATTAGAAAAGCATTGGTAGTGAGACACATAAAATAACAACCCGCAACTCTTGAGTTATGATTTTAAAGGGGAAATCATACCAGACTTACTACGATAATAATTAAAAATTTAAAATTTTTACAACCGACTTCAATATAAATAATTAACGATAACTCAAAAACTATTGGTCTGACCTCGATCAAATTTATATGGGACCACATGTGAAACACCAGCTCTTAATAATAAGATATAAGCTCTTAATAATAAGATATAGAATAATAAGAAAAGAATAATTGAAATTTAAGTAATCGATGCAAATATTGTTAAAGATGACGTCTTAAAATAAGTCTTTTCTTTTATGTTGAATTTGTATAAGTCTTTTCTACTAAAAAAATGTCATCTGTGATCAACAGTTACGTCTAAAATTCTTACGATAATTTCTAAAATATTGATATTTAATAATTAAAAAAATAATTAGTAGATGCGTCTTCTTATCATGAGTCGAATGGTATATTTAACTCATTTATTCAAAAATTGTTAGATGCGCCCTTTTTTCTTATGACCGCAGCATTGTTTCGTACCGAGCTAGATAGGTCGACAGCGGAGGGAATATGGGTACAGTCGCGTTCTAAAGTACTACATGGTATTGGGCTCTTGTTTATAATATTATAGTAATTAATTGTTTTATTGTAGAATCATACTAGGTGTTTTACTAGCTACTTAGAACTTTGGAAGAGCTGGGAATTAAAAATGGTTAATGTTTACTTGAGCATTATTTGTAATTTCTATCGTAAAATATAAAGTAGTTTGTAACAAGAAAACTTAAGCTAAGGGTGACACGCCGTCCATTATGACGTCTTTGCCACATGGAAGCCAGATGTTGATGGTGTGTTGGTGTTACTGGATGCTACTTCATCATCACTTTCATCTTCGCTTGAGCTTCCGTCATCAGGTCTATCACATGGTAATTTTTTCGGTATTCTTCCTCAACACTTTTAATTTTACTGCACAATTTTCCCCATTCACCTTCTCCTATCATATTTACCTTTTCGTTCACTAGTTTAGTCATAAAACAATAGATATAAATAATTTTTCTTTCCTTCCTTTTTAAAACATCGTCGCGAGTCGCAAAGTAAGCTGTGTATGCGACTGTATTTTCGGAGCGAACAAAGCGCGGGAACCAATAGCATGCAGGCACAGTAATACTGGCGGATTGTTCCCCCGTCGCGCGCCCCCTTCGTACCAATATGTGATAAATCGCTCAGTGCCCAAGTTCAAGGCCAACGTTCTTTTTTCACCGTTCGTGCGTACATTAACCTCCATTAGTCAGGTGATATCAATTCAGTTTCCACTGCTGGTTTTATGTTTCAGTATTTTCATAAATTTTTTAATGAAATTATCGTTTCATTTAGCTGTACTAACATGATGGCGAGTGAATAAAGCTAATAAAATGTTGTAAAAATATGATTTTTTTTTCATCAGGATCAAATTTATTTGTGACCCAAGATCAAAGGTATACTTGGTGCTGTCGCCTGTCTTAGTTTTCGGGAGCGTTCCAAAAATACCCTGTATATTTATTATTCTTTTGATTCTCCATCTATCGATCCATTGCAGTCTATAAAAACCCACAGCTAAACAAAGCTTGCCAAGCTAACTCCCCCCCCCCCCCCCCCCCCATTTTGCTTCATAGAGGGTATTTTACCACAATGCTACGTTTGAGAGATGGGTTGCCAACCCACTGCAGTTTTAAAAAAAATTTGAGATGTTATCGTGGTTATCGTTCCCATCTCCAGTTTGAGTTTCCCTATGCTGGCTTTTACGATAGCTACGGAACGATATGTGTGATATGGAATAGTGAATAACCTTAACACCACTTATTTTTGGCTCTGTGACGTCTTATTTACGTGTTGACTTCCTAAGAATGCCGTGTGTTGAATTTGGTAGGTCTGCCTAGGCCTTCCGTAAAGTGCTAGATAAAAGTGACGACTATCAAAGCAATCACGTAACGTGTTTTCAAAAGAGATAGGTAAACAATTAAAAAATAAAGACAGCTATACATATGTTACACATATATTCAACAAGTTCATTTATGACTCCATATTATCGCGTTCCTTCCAATCCCGATCGATAGCGATACAATCCTCGTAGGTCCATTTAGGGAACATGCGTTTATAGAGATTTAGCAGCACTGTGTCTTGAGATTTCAATTGGTCGTCGAACACGCACTTCATGTGCCCGTGTGTACCTGTTTTTTGAAAAATATATTATAATAATTTACACATTATAATATGCAATATAATAATAATAATAATGTCTCCCAGACCGAATTTTTGGTGACAGCGGTCAGTCTCAACACAGACTAGTCATCTGCGCAGGACAGGATTATAGTGCCCGAGTGTATGCCCAAGCACAAGTTCACTTTCTATTCCCTCACTTCAATAGTCCGATGGAACGGTAATTTGACACGAAAGGAGAGAGATCAGGCGCAGAAAAAACGTCTTCACGTGCTTTTTGAAGCACGGGGGTGAAATAGAGAATGAGAATTTCTTGACAGAAAATCCCAAATTTTTATGACGGCTCCGTGGCGCAGTGGCTTAGCAATGAGTTGCTGCGCTGGGGGCCGCGGGTTCGAATCCCGCACGGAACAAGTATTTGTATGGCCTGCAAATAATTGTTCCAGGTCTGGATGTTTGTCCTTGTGCAATTTGTGTTTGTAAACTGCCTCCACGATACAGGAGAAAATCCTAGTGTGAGGGTAACGTTTTTTTTTTAAAGTAGAAAGTAGAAAAAGTAGAAATCCCAATTACTGATTTTAACCCGACCTGGGATTCGAACCCGGGACCTCCGCTATACCAACAAACAAGGCAGTCGTTGTATGCAATATATCCCATGTATTGAAACTTTAATCTAAACAAGGTAACAGAAAACTATTAATTAAATTAACTACTATTAATTAAATTATTGTTACGACAGCCAGTTGCGTACGTTGCACGAGAATGTTACCGATGATAAGGCTCTGTCAAATAATATAAAAAGCAAAATTAAAAATTTTGAAAAACCCACCACTGATGTAAAAGTTGTATTGGAAAAAGGATTAAATAAAAATATTAAAAACCCCCGACTAAGAGGAAGTAAGTCAAAAGAAAAAAAGAAAAGCGTTTTAAAAAGGGTTGGTGAGGGAGTGAAGTTGGGAGGCCTATCATAATAAACAACTAATTATGACTTTCCTTAGTTCTTCCTACCTTTGTGTACCGTTTTGTTTGTCGTAGCGATAAACACAGCAATAACATCAAATATAGAGTAGTTCGGGGTTTTCAGTGGAAAGGGTTAAGAAGAGACCAGTCGAAAGATAATTCAATTTGATGACCGCTTAATCGGCAGAAGTTACCATGATGGGTTATGATATTGTTGGGTAGGTATAACTCCAATGAATGTACCATTTTAAAGCAACCAAGGTGCTGGCTAAATAGAAAGAGTAATTATTCCACTCATATTAGGTTTGCCCGTTACAGTGCATAAATTGGAAGGCGGTCATACATCATAGACCCAAAACATTTTCCAAAGGGCAAGCTTATGTGACTTTTACTGGAATACAATCTTTAGATGGTGTAGTAGGAACCGATCTGAATCAAAGAAAACTCTTCAAAAATACACGTCAAAGCATAGCGTTGGAAGTGTTAGAGCGATTGAGAAGCACGTTGCGCAGGTCACAAATCGAAGAAGCCGAAGAAAGGCCACAAAGCTGTCTCTGATCTAGATCTGTTATAATGGCATTAATATAGTGATGACTATGAAAACCCAAATATGCTATGTGATATCAATAACCGCATCTATATCGGTCATGCAGTCTCGGAGAAAAAAAATTGCCAAAATGAGTAAAAAATGTTTATTGCAGCACTCCCTGGCGAGTTATCACCATAACAACTAACTAAAAACCATCGCCGATGAATTACAAACCCTTTACAGAAAACTGTATCTCAATCAATCAAACCGTTTTAGAGATAAATGGAATATTAATTTGCACAAATATGTTAATTACAGCGCCCTCTGGCAAGTCACCACCATAACATCTATCTAACAACCATCGCCGATGAATCACAAACCCTATACAGAAAACCGTATCTCAATCATTCAAACCGTTTTGGAGATAAATGGGAACATTGGTTTGCACACACGCGCGCACACACACACACACACACGCACACGCACACGCACACGCACGCGCACGCGCACGCGCACGCGCACGCGCACTCGCACGCGCACGCACACGCACACGCACACGCACACGCACACGCACACGCACACACACACACACACACACACACACACACACACACACACACAAACAATCTCTCACCCTAAACGCATACACCTTCTCTGTTCCGTCGCGGGTAAAAATGTGTAATAATAGACGACGTTAAAACTAATTGATACAAGCAAAACGCAACCTTATACGCAATCCTTTTCACATTTGGACACATTGTTATCTTTATGTAATCGTGAATGTTCTAGAGCCTTCCAATTGAAAGAGTGGAATGACCCGCATTAACCTAGAACATTCCTCTTATTGTAAGTGTGCACCTGCGGGTAACAGTATAATATATATATATATATATATATATATATATATATATATATATATATATATATATATATATATATATATATATATATATATATATATATATATATATATATATATATATTTTGCCTGTGATTGTATACACACCTAATGGCTCCTTGATATGACCAGTGCGGCCATACTTTGTCCTCAGCTTGCAAGGCTTGTAATACAATACATCGTCTCTATTGAAGAACATGAATCTTATTACTGCTGATCTTCTGTGAACCTGTGAAAGACAAATATTTTGTTATGTTACTTCATCATCATCATCATTACAGCCCTTCACAAGTCCACTGCTGAATAAGGGTGACCAACGAGCACATAGTCCACGTGATGGTAAGTGGATGGTGTGGCCCATTCACATCTACATCTATCTTCGATTATGAATCAAAATACGTTGTCACCCTTGAGATAGAATGCCTAGTTTTCACTGAAAAATGGTCTTCGATTCTCTACACTCAATACGAAACCCAGAAGCATCTAACTACTATTTTACACTGGTGTTACTGATATCACATCCCATTATTCTCCCCGGTCCATCGTGGACATAGCGCAGCGTCACTACGCACGCCACTTGTTCGAAACCACCCGGTCGCTAACGTACTCTTATATTGGGTGGCGATTAGGTTATCAAATTAAAAAACACAATGGTTACAAATTAAAAAACACGAGTTCATATAAGTCGACTTAAAATAATAAAATAAACATTCTACCAAAAATAAAAATAAATTATCTTTCAAACAAAATAAATAGCGTAAAAATTGACACGAAATTAATCACCTGATAATATTAGTTTAGTGGCTAAATAGTAAATTTTGTATTTATATAGTTTATACAACCATTAATGTAAAATATGATTTTAAAAAAAAGTACTGCTGGGTTTCTTGCTGGTTCTTCCCAGGTCAGGGGATTTTTTTTCGAACCAGTGGTAAAGTAAAAAGTGACTTTCAATAAGAATTACACATGTGATCTATATTGAATAAAAAATTATTCTATTCTATTCTACTAGAAGTGAGATGTAAAAGCAGCGGCATCGACATAGGTAATTATTTACCTACACTTTCCTATTCATAAGTAATTAACGGTTATTGTGACTAGAATGTTAATTGTTATATATTTTTTTAGTTATGTATGTTCAAAGAACGTTATATAGGGTAAGTCTTTTCATTTAATGTGATAACTTAATCGCCACCGCGTATAATATCAGAACCAATAAACCTATACAGTCTACATATTGAAGTATTTATTTGAGTCAAGATTTCCAACAACACAAGTGGAGCTTGATACTCAACAACTGGTATTCTTTGAGAGTATTGTCCTTCTCCAGTCGAGCCGATCCATTCATGCTACAACCATAATATAGCTGCAGCATGACTTTGCCACATAGTCTAACTATATGAATTATAACCACTGGTGAGTAATAAGTATTATGTATATTTAAATAAGATGCTATGGACTTAGGATGGGCTATAACGATGATCGTGGTAAATATATTAGATGGCACACATTTATTTATGGTCCATTTAAAAAAAAAACATTTTCTAAAACCTAGCAACATCAATTTTCTTAGTGACCTAAATCCCTTTAAGCTTTTAATAGGTTTATGCCCAAACCTATTTCTGAAAGGATTATTAAGCAAACTAGTCAGCCTTGCTGCTTCAACGCGTGTTAGCAAATTTTAAATATCCCCAAATTATTTTACTATGCAGGTTTCCTCACGATGATTACCTTCGCCACCAGTACGTGATAAGTGAGCGCATAAAATTGATATAAACAATTTCATTGAGGTCACAGTAGAATAATGAAATTGGTGGATCGAACCCGGGTTGCTTGTGTACTGTGAAACTTAAAGCGCGCACTTAGCTTCTAAACTACCACGGCTCTCCCGTAACTCCCTTAAATTGCCGTTTGTTACCTTACTAACTCTTCCCCGCGACTTCGCTAGCGTGGAATTTATTACGATCGTATTTCATGGGTTTAAATTTTTTTTAATAATAATATAATTCCCTAATTCTTTTTCTAAAATATAAGTAGCCTAAGTTACTCCTTATAGCGTCAGCTATCTGTTAGTGAAAGTCCCGTCTAAATCGGTCCAGCTACTTCGGAGATTAGCCAGAACAAACAGACAGACAAAAATTTTATGAAATTGTTTTTTAGTTATAAGTACCGTATAAACTTTCATATGCCTTTAGTAAAAAGCTGTTCTTGTGACATTACAAACAGACACTACAATTTTATTGACTATGGAAAAGACCAGAAAGTTCTCATGACATGACTGATTACGTTGTACATGTGACGACGGTGACATAAAATGCCCAGACTGATGATGCTGAGGTATGAACAGGGTACAAGAGTAGCGGCCAAGGCAAATCTTACGTTAAGAGGCCTATGGCCAACAGTGGGCTGTTGCATGCAGATTAAAAGTATAAAAAAAAGAACTACATTAGCTTGTGTGTTAATATATATATATATATATATATATATATATATATATATATATATATATATATATATATATATATATATATATATATATATCATCATCATCATTACAGCCCTTCACAAGTCCACTGCTGAACATAGGCCTCCCCCAAAGAATGCCACAAAACACGGTCCTGAGCCACCTGCATCCATCGACTTCCTGCATATCTTACCAGGTCGTCACTCCATCTAGTGGGGGGACGCCCTACACTTCGCCTGCCGGTACGAGGCTGCCACTCGAGAACCTTTCTTATATATATATATAATATTAATTTTAATATTAAAGAGTGGTAGAGCCATGCTGCAGCTATATTACTGGTATAGTTGTAGCACGAATGGGTTGGCTCGACCGGGGAGGGACCACGCTCTCAGAGAATACCAGCGTAAAATAGCAGCATAATGCTGCTGTGTTTCGTATGGTGAGTGTAGAGAACCGGAGACCCTTTTTACTGGAAAAGAGGCATTATATCTTAGTCCTCACGGCTCACAACGCAACTGAATTTTAATTCGCAAGAGAAGATAGATGTAGCTGTCTATGGGCCACAGCAACCACTTACAGTCAGGTGGACTGTGCGCTCGTTTGTCACCCTTATTTTATATGAAAAAGCAACACAAAATGTGGCTAAGATCTATTTATTTATTCACGACTAGGGACCTGCCCTGAGACCTATTAATTCGAAGTGCATTTATTTTATCATTTAAAAAGACAATCTTTTCGAATTAAATATATCTATCTATATCCCATATCTCTCTATCTGTTTATAAAGTTTAATTACAATCGATTTAGCCATTACGAAGATTAGCCCAGACAGAGCAGATAGACAAACAGACAGACAGATAAAAAATTTAAAAATGGTTATTGGCTCTTAAAATAGCATGCAAAGCTTATTAGAAGCCAGTTCTTTTAATATTACAGGCAGACACTACATTTTATATACAAAATGTAACAAAAACCCTGGTTCCCGTTAAGTACGTTATTAGAATTCAAACGTATAGAAATAACTTTTTTTTTAAACTCGAACAATAATTTTTTATTCTATTTTTAAAAAAATTGTATGCAAATTGTATGTGGTTTTATTACCTCTGCATTGTCTTGGGAGTAAGAGGATTGTCAAAGACCCCGCTAGTGTCAGTAAGAGGTAATAAAACCACATACAATTAATTTTTTTTTTAATAAAATAAAAATATATGGTACAGTTTTTAAAAAAAAAGTTATTTCTATAGGTTTGAATACTGATACTGATAACGTACTTAACGGGAACCACAGGGGTTTTTGTTACATTTTGTATATGTATGTATAGATAAAGCAATGGAAACTAAGCTCAAAGTTTTTTTTTTTTTATTTACCTTGAATGGATGTCCAGAGAGAACAATTCTCTTGATGATAAGTCTGTCTGGGTTGCAAGAAAGGAGGACTCCTGATGCTATAAGTTGCAGTTTTGTATTCTTCTTTTCCTGTTAATTATAAAAAAATAAAAACACATTTAATGCAGTTTTTTTTTTAAATAAGGTCAAGCTAAGATAAGGCAATTAAGTAACAATTGTAATGTCGTCTAAATAGTTACAATAAAAAATGTCACCCGCCTCCTATTTATCATCCCTAAGAGATGGAATTTTTTTATACAGATTTAAATAGCACTACCCTTGAGGTTAATCGGAACACGCTTGAATTGCCTATTTTATAAAAAAAAAACAACATTTAAATTGGTTCAGCATTTTCAGAAAAATCGGTTAACCATACAATAAAAAAACACATACGCGCCGAATATGGAACACTCTCCTTTTTTGAAGTCGGTTAGATACAGAAACACCCACTCTTCTGTGCCTACCCATAACATAACGATTTATTTTTCTTTATGAGTTTATAAATAAGTATATTTATAAGCTTAGAAGTTATGCTTCATATAATGTTATATTGAGTTGCTACTGTCGACCAAAATTTGTAAAGAAATGGCCAAATAAATATCTTCCTTTCTTTCTTTCTATATCAATTGTACGATAATATTGGTGGTAGGCTTAAACACAGCTCAGTGTAACAGATAAAAAGATAATCACGTGATACATCCAAAATATTGACGGTAGTCGGTAATATCCGTATCATGGCGGCGTAAGAAAGTTCATTACCCTAAATATCATCCAGTGGATGTCCTAAAAGGTAACAGATGAAAACTGAAACAGTTTAAAATAATAAATAATGCTGTAACTACCAACTCGCATGCCAAGCGTGGTAACTATGGTACAATTAACAGTGGTAGAGCCACGCGGCAGCTTTTGCTGTCACACGAATGGGCCGGCTCGAACCGGGGTAGTACCACGACCTCACAGAAATCCAGCGTGAAGTAGAGGTTTACCTCTGCGTTTCGCTTGGTGAGTGCAGGTGGCCGGAGGCCCTTTTTACTGGAAATGAGGCATTCCATCTTAGTCCTCACGGGTGACAACGCATCTACATTTTGATTTGTAACAAAGGATAGATGTAGATGTCTATGGGCCGCAGCAACCACTTACCATCAGGTGGACTGTGTGCTCGTTTGTCACCCTTATCGTATAAAAAAAAAATCTCCCCCAATTAGGCCTTCTAATGGGGAATTCTATGTTTAGCAGTGGACTTTTGACAAATTAATAAATTAATTAATGAAATTGACAACAGTAATTTTACTCATGTTTTATGTTAAGCAATTAAAATATAGTATTAGGAAATTATTTACGTCACATATACCTTAAAACAGAGGACTGACGATGGACTGAACTGAATGGGAGCGAAGAAAGTGGCGACACATGTTGAACCAGATTGAAAGAACCTTTCGTACTGGAAAAAAAAATATAAAATATTTCTTGTGATAGAATAGAATCATTTTTATTCAATATAGATTATAGTACATAATACTTATTGAAAGTCATTTTATTTTACTTTTACCACTGGTTCGTACCTCTGCCCTGGGAAGAACCAGCAAGAAACCCAGCGGGACTTTTTTTTAGCCCACGACCTTTCGAGTTCGCGGTCCACGCCCTGCCATTAGGCTACTGACGCTTCTGTAAGTAATTATCGTATGGGCGTCGCAAGAGGCGAAATACTAAAATAATCTCATAGCTTCCGATAGATGGCGATTTAACCAAATCGTACATACAGAAATAAAATACCTAGATGAGCAGAGTCAAAGATGCGAGACATTTCAACATTTCCAATCCACCTGCCAGGCATGGCAATTATGGCAAACATTCTCTTATAGTCTGTTTACTGAGATAGTGTCGGTACATCCGGAGGCACACTTATTATTTTACTTTTATTTTATTAGTTTTTATTGTGTTTGTTAAGTAAAGTTGCATTCTAAGAACAAAACTATTTTACTCTTATGGTTATTCTAATAAAATACGAATATAAATAATAAACACAAGTTAGGTCACAAAGAACTTTTTACCACAGCGCTTAGTTTTAAAATGCCAAATTCTCCTGCGGGTGTACGCCGTACGCTTACTTATGATGTCGCAGCAGCGCCTTTGACAAGATGAGGCACGTCTCAGACCAAGGCGGCGCGACACAGAAGCGACCGTATCTAAGAGAACAGACTATACTAAAAAGGAAGTAGATTTTTAACCTGATTAGATATATTACTAAGGAAGCAGATAGTTAACCTTAGTGAACTATAACATCACAGACAATTCTTACTGGTGACAAGGCATTTCGTCTTAGTCCTCAGGGGTGACAACGCATCTACATTTTGATTCTTAATTGGGGATATGATAGATGTCAATGGGTCGCAGCAGCCACTTACCATTTCATATGATCAGTTGTCACCATTATTCCTCTTAAAAATATAACTCAGTCTAGTTTAGAGCGCGCCATGCGCTATTAGCGTATACAGAACACGAATGAGTCTAATCTAAACATTGATAATACAGGATGAAATCAAGTGTGCTCAAAATATTTTTAAAATCTAAAGATATTTATATAGGTTATCTCATGGTTTTTTTTTGGTAATGAGGAATTGGTAATGGATTGGGACTGAGGTGATTGTCGTTCTTCAGCTTTTTAAACAGATTACTTTTGATTCGATCTACGCAGAATAAGCTTACTGTGTCTTGAAGTTTTGCAGTGGTATGCTTGGGATCAGTTTTAATTTCATTAATTTCAGGATCCCAAGCAGGTGGTAGTACTCAGCGTTCTTGTCTATTGAAATTAGCATGTTTTTTAATTTCAATAGCCTCACGTATCATCCTTGGTAGGAATCAATGTTCTTTCACTACGATTTGTGGTCTATCAAATCTGATGTAATGTCGTGGGCCGTCTAGGATTTGATCACAAACTGCAGACTACCTGGTGCCCAGATTCCAATTTCACATCAGCCCCCGTGACTGTGGGTGTCGTTAATACAAAATACTAACCTTATGTTTAGTTCCATTTGTGTGTTGGCTGAAAATGGGATTAACGATGAATCTTCTGTAACCAACTTGGAAAATAAGCCGCTCCTTGCTTTTTATCGGTTCATCGCTAGCTCCCGTTCGTTTCAATACCACATTCATAACAGACATTTTATGCTCATGAGGAAGGAGTCCAAAAATTGCTAATGGAGCGTTTGCATTGGACGAATGGAAAGCGTTCCAGAGATCTTTACGCACGCCTTGAACATGTATTGTTATATAAAAACCATACTGAAACCAAGTAAAAGATTACTGTAATCCCTACAAATGTATGTGGTTAATCATGGTATGGCGCCATGTTATGGCATTTTTGATTTCTTGTTACGTTACATAGCTTTGTTGATGATGTAAAAGTCAATTGCATATACAGTTCCAGTAAATATACGTTTTACCTAATATAATCCCTAGTCTCTGACTATTGTGGTTAGGCCATCTTATAATTTCAAGAACACACAGGGTTTAATAGGTGACCCATTTTCACACGCGTGAAAACTAATAGTATAATTTAAATTTTTTTTTTGCAACCGACATCAATATAAATTATTAAGAATAACTCAAAAACTATTGATCAGACCTTGATCAAATTTATATGGGGCAAAACATGTAAAGCACCAGCTTTCAAATAAAAAAAGAATCATTGAAATCACCCAGAAAAAATTTATGAGGTAACACACATAAAAAAACATACAGTCGAATTGAGTACCTCCTCCCGTTTAAAGTCGGTAGAAAAATAAAAGTAAAGTACGACCTATATCAGTCCCACAACTGAATACAGGTTCCACACATATTTTTTATAAAAAAATACTAGTAATGTTATTAATATTACTAATATACCCTTCCACCACTCCTGCAGGGCTACATTGGGCAGGAGACAATTTTATCCCCGGGAAAAGGATAAAATGTCCCCTCGCTTAGTTTTATCCACCCTTCGAGCATGGGCACAACGGTGAATATAATATCCACAATAGATATAATTTAAATTAAAAATTTTGTACAGCCGACTTCAATGTAAGTTATTTAAGAATAACTCAAAAACTATTGGTCTGACCTTGATCAAATTTATATGGGACCACAAGAGAACTATCAGCTTTCATATAAAAAAAAATAATCATCGAAATCGGTTCACCCAGTACAAAATTATGAGGAGTTTGCGTGTATGTCAGAGAGGACATCTGTTCTCGACGCCTCGGCAGTCTTGAAGGTTCGGACCTGTCCATCCTTTGGCTACGCGTAGACAGCGACGACCATCCGCGCGTCTACGGGTGCCTCTATAGGTCCCATAGCGGTAATGCCGAAACAGACCGACTCATCGACCACGTCCAAATGGCTACAGATTCCTTGCTACAACAGGTCCCATCCGCAGAAATCGTGATCCTTGGCGATTTTAACGCCCACCATGCCGAATGGCTCGGTTCACGTTTAACCGATCATGCGGGGAGATCTGTTTATGACTTTGCTTTGGCATATGGTCTGACACAACTGGTTACTTCGCCTACGCGGATTCCAGATGTGGAGGATCATACACCTTCCCTGTTGGACCTTCTGCTGACCTCTCATCCGGACGGATATCAGGTTTCCGTCGATGCCCCTCTCGGCTCTTCGGACCATTGTCTGATCCGGAGTATGGTGCCACTCACGCTCCCTTCGCGGTTGCGTTCTGCAGGTTGCCGCCGTGTTTGGCATTACAGGTCGGCGGATTGGGACGGAATGCGGTCTTTCTTTGCATCCTACCCATGGGGGCGGGTTTGCTTCTCGCCGGATGATCCCAGCGCTGTTGCTGACTCTGTCACTGATGTGGTGCTACAGGGAATGGAACTATTTATTCCATCATCTGTGGTACCCATCGGAGGCAGATCTCAGCCTTGGTTTGGTCGCTCCTGTAAGACTGCATTGCGCAGAAAGCAGGAGTGTTATCAAGCCTGGGCTGCGGCTTCGGTGACTCGGGATGTAAACACCAGCACACTTAAAAAGAAGTATAACTTCGCCTCCAGGTCCTTCAAAAGAGTTATTGCCAGGGCAAAGTCAGAGCACATAGGCAGAATTGGCGAGAAACTAGTTCGCCTTCCTTCGGGAACCCGTGCATTCTGGTCTCTCGCCAAGGCTGTCCAAGGGAATTTCTGTAAGCCATCACTACCATCTCTGCACAGGGAGGACGACTCACTGGCCCACGACGCAAAAGAGAAGGCCGACCTTTTAGGCTCCCTTTTTGCGTCCAACTCGACTGTTGATGACGGGGGGAACACACCGCCGACCATCCCGCGGTGTGAGTGCTCTATGCCGGATGTGCTATTCTCACAGCGCTCGGTTCGCAGAGCACTCCTCTCCCTTGACATCCACAAGTCGAGTGGGCCTGACGGAATCCCCCCAATTGTGCTGAGGACGTGTGCTCCGGAGTTGGCACCGGTTCTAACGCGTCTTTTCCGGTACTCCTACTCCCATGGCGTTGTCCCGAACTCATGGAAGACAGCTTTTGTCCACCCGATCCCTAAAAAAGGCGACCGCTCAGACCCGTCCAACTATAGGCCTATCGCGATCACCTCCTTGTTCTCCAAAATAATGGAATCCATTATTAACTGCCAGCTCATCCGGTACCTTGAGGATCACCAGCTGATCAGTGACCGCCAATACGGTTTTCGTCGGGGTCTATCAGCTGGTGATCTTCTAGTCTACCTGACCCATAGATGGGCGGAGGCAGTAGAGTCCAAGGGGGAGGCGTTGGCCGTTAGTCTGGACATTGCGAAGGCCTTCGATCGGGTTTGGCACAAAGCGCTTCTTTCGAAGCTCCCTTCCTATGGGCTTCCCGAGAAATTGTGCAATTGGATCACCAGCTTCCTTGCAGATCGGAGCATCAAGGTCGTTGTAGACGGTGCATGTTCTGACTACAAGCCTATTAACGCTGGTGTTCCACAAGGCTGTGTGCTATCACCAACGCTGTTTCTTCTGCATATCAATGATATGTTGCTAACTGGTAACATTCATTGCTATGCGGATGACAGCACTGGTGATGCTCTATACACCGGCCGGGCCAATATTTCTCGGGAAAACGTCGCTGAGTACCGGAACAAACTTGTGTCTGAAGTCGAGTCTTTGCTGGACAAAGTCTCGGATTGGGGGCGACTAAATCTAGTCCAGTTTAATCCTCAGAAGACACAAGTTTGCGCGTTTACCGCTAAAAAGAACCCCTTTGTCGTATCTCCTCAGTTTCAAGGCACTCCCCTTCTTGCCTCAGCCAGTATCGGTATCCTCGGAGTCGACATATCGAGTGACGTGCAGTTTCGTGGTCACTTGGAAGAGAAGGCCAAATTGGCCTCTAAAAAGCTTGGCGTGCTCAGCAGAGCGGGACAGTATTTCATGCCGGCACACCGCCTGCAACTTTACAAGGCGCAGGTTCGGCCTCACATGGAATACTGTTCCCATCTCTGGGCAGGGGCTCCCCAGTGCCAGCTCCTTCCACTTGACCGCATCCAGCGCAGAGCGGCTCGAATCGTCGACGACCGAGCCCTTTCCGATCGGCTCGATTCATTGGCACTGCGAAGAGATGTTGCATCTCTTTGCATTTTCTTTCGCATCTACCATGGGGAGTGCTCTGAGGAATTGTTCGGATTAATCCCAGCCGCCAAATTTCATGAACGCACATCGCGGCAGAACTCCCGATACCATCCACACCATCTGGATGATTGGCGGTCCACCACTGTGCGATTTAGAAGATGTTTTCTTCCTCGCACGACTTCTTTGTGGAATCGATTACCATCAGCGATTTTTCCGGACCGATACGACTTAGGGACCTTCAAGAAAAGAGCCTACTCCTTTTTAAAAGGCCGGCAACGCATCTGCAATTCCCCTGGTGTTGCGGTTGTTCGTGGGCGGCGGTAGTCACTTACCATCAGGTGAGCCGCATGCTCGTTTGCCCCCTCTCCTATAAAAAAAAAAAAAAAAATAAAAAAAACATACAGTCAAATTGAGTACAGTCCTTTTTGGAAGTCGGCAGAAAAATGGGAGATAGATTTTTTTTGTATGAATATAAACTTAAACCCACGTTCAATGAACTAGGATAAAATTGTCCCTTTCAAATGTCAAAAAAGCATAATTTTTTTAATTTTTATATGTGGTAGAGCCATGCTGCAGCTATATTAATAGTGTAGTTGTAGCGTGAATGGGTCGGCTCGACCGGGGAAGGACCACGCTCTCACAGAATACCAGCGTAAAATAGCAGCTTAATGCTGCTGTGTTTCATATGGTGAGTGTAGAGAACCGGAGACCCATTTTACTGGAAAAGAGGCATTCCATCTTAGTCCACACGGCTGACAACGCATCTGCATTTTAATTCGCAAACGAAGATAGATGTAGATGTCTATGAGTCACATAAACCACTTACCATCAGGTGGACTGTGTGCTCATTTGTCACCCGTATTCTATAAAAAAAAAATTATCTTTAATTTGGCTCCACGGTACGGACAGGGGATATGTTATGTCTCATCATTCATCATCATTACAGCCTTTCACAAGTCCACTGCTGAACATAGGCCTCCACCAAGGAATACCACAAAGCACGGTCCTGAGCCACCTGCATCCATCGACTTCCTGCATATCTTACCAGGTCGTCACTTCATCTCGTGGGGGTCGCCTACCGGTACGAGGCTGCCACTCAAGAACCTTTCTTCCCCATCGATTGTCGGTTCTTCGAGCTATATGACCGGCCCACAGCCACTTCAGCTTACTAATCCGTTGGGCTATATCGGTTACTCTGGTTCTACTGCGGATATCCTCATTTCTAAGTCACGCAGAGAAACCCCAAGCATAGCCCTCTCCATAGCTCGCTGAGCGACCTTGAGCTTCCTCATACGGCCAGCAGTGAAGGACCACATCTCAGATCCGTAAGTCATCACTGGCAACACGCACTGGTTGTACAATTTCGTTTTAAGGTTTTGAGGTATGTCTAACGAGAAGATTTGTCGTAGTTTCCCGAACGCTGCCCAGCCGAGTTGAATCCGTCGATTCACTTCTCAGTCGAAGTTGGACTTACCTAGTCGGACTATTTGTCCCAGGTAAACATACTCGTCAACAACTTCGAGCTTATTGCTCCCAACAACTACCGGCATAGGTGTGACATATACATTAAACATGATCTTTGTTTTGTCTATGTTCATCTGTTTAGGCTAAATATGGTCATTTGAGACGGCAACCAAACACGTTCGACTTAGCGAATCACCCGATGGTACCAGGTGTCACGCGCGTTGTGGGGAGGGGGCAGCGGAATGCAGCTTCCCAGCGTTTGGCGCTGGCGGGCGAGAGACAGTAACTCGAGGGCAGCGGTGCAGTCAATTAGCGTATCTCGGTGACCGCTGCAGATGTTTCGCGCGACCGGTTTTGGGTTATGGTCTAGATTTTTAGAATTTGTGCGCGTTACTTCGCTACGTAATTGTGGTTTCGTGAAAACCGCCTCGGTTTAGTTTGTCTAGGTTTTAAGTTCTTGACAAGAGGCTTGTATTGTATTTCACTGATTAAAGTAATTTCGTTTGAAAGTAATTGCGCCAATTATATAGTGATTGCGTGTTAAAGTGCATTGTGCAATATTTAACTTGCTCGTGTGACGTGGAATTTTGCGCGCGCGCCGAGTAGAGATACGGTCTAGAATTTGAACCGCGCATTCCTTTTCAAATCATTGTTTAATTATACCGTCGCGTTAAGAGCCTTTTGTGTGTTGACTCTGTAGCTAGTTTACGTGTCAGCTAGGTTGATTTTGAATTCTTATTGCGGCGTAGTATTTAATATCGAACGAAGAAGTTTAGTTGTTGTTTGTAAGGCTGTACTTTGTGACTCATGAAGAGATCGCGTTAGTTCCCTATTTGTAATTTGGTGATAAACTAATCCGGAACCTTGAATATTGAACTTTGGACTACTGTTCGTTACTTGTGTCGAGTGCCACGTGTTTGATTTCGATGAACGTCGGATTTAGTTGAGTCTGAAGTTAGTTAAGTGTACAATAAAGTTGTTAGACTGAAATATTGACATGAAGAAAGAAATTGTCCATTGGGTACGCCTGCTGGAGTGATGCAGCATTGTGGGGCAGCATAGAAACCGGCCGCTGCTAGGTCACCTCAGCTGGGCCAGGTCACCCACATATACACACCACTAAACACCACTTTACATGCATTTACTCTACCTACGGCCTGACCGAGCCTTGGGGCGGTCTTAGATTCGGATCCAGGTACGTACTGTTTATTTTCCTAGCCTTCTCCCTATTGTTTAGTATGATAGGTCATTTTTCCATAAGGCCAATTGGACCCGAACCCTCGGCTGCCCGTCGAGGAGGCTACTATGGGCCCTAGCCAAGGCGACCTTTGCAGGGGCAGCTGTGGGCCGTAACATCATTCTAAGACCTATTCGTTGGGAGACACTATTGAGGTCATTGAGCATGGTGCTTAGGTCCTCCAGCGATCCTACCATAAGGACTATATCGTCGGCTAATCGAAGGTGTGTTGGTGGTGATCGGAGAGTTTTTGTGTTCTTCTGCGGCGGGTCTTGCAGAACTTAGCTCCGACCGCATAGACAGTTTCCACGAGCTTGTCATGCATATCGTCCACTTCATTGCAGTCTTCTAGGCACTGAAAACGGTTTTTTAACTCGAGCTGAAAGGTTTCGGGACTTTGGAACAGAGCACGAGGGGGACGGAGCGTTGACTTCATTAGACGAGACCTCTCCAACTGAATGTTTAGGTTCAGTGTGCCTCTAACCATTCGGTGATCGCTACCAGTTTTCACCCTCACGATCACGGAGACATCACTGAACAGTTGTCGCCTGGTCGTCATAATGAAGTCAATCTCATTTTTTGTGGAACCGTCGGGGCTCGACCAGGTCCACTTCCTGTGGGGCCGCTTCTGGAAGAAGAGTTCATCATAAAGAGTCCCTCTTTCTCCATGAAGTCGGCCAGCTGCTGGTCCCTTGGGTTCCGTTGCCCTATTCCAAATTTCCCTACTTTCAGCTCACCGTTCTCTCTTGTACCTAGTTTTGCATTGAAGTCTTCGATTAACACCGTATATTGGGTTTTGGAGGAATGCATGGCTCTAGAGATATCGTCATACATTTCCTCCACCTCCTCATCGGGGTGTGCCGAGGTTGGTGCGTAAACCTGTATGACCTTCAGCGAATACCATTTGGTGTTTCTGAGTATAAGGAACGCAACCCTCGTCGACACACTCTCAATCTTTACAACGTTATTAACGAGAGACTTGTGGACGATAAATCCGACACCTCCTTGGGACAGATGGTCGCCCTCCCGGAGCAAGTTGCCGGATTCGAGGATTACCGTGTCCTCCCCCTCTCTTCGGACTTCGGATAATCCTATAATATGCCAGCGTAACTTGTCTATCTTTTCTTCCAGCTCCACGATCTTCTCTTCAGTCCTCAGGGTGCGTGCGTTGTATGTTGCCAGGTCGAGTCGTCTTAGGTGGCAACCGAACCTTCACCGGAGATTCTTTGCACCCCCTGTCCCGCCATTACCATATATAATATGTCTACTCGTTGTCAAATGGGGATACACTTCTCCCCGTTGGCGTGCTTTGGCATAAGGACACGATAATTTAATCTCTTGTCAGTGGATATAATCGGGGGATAAATTTTTTGTCCCCAGCCCATGCTAGCCGTGCTGTTAAGCTTAAAATGCTTGTTAGGAGTGGTCCACAACAAAAGCCGAATGGCGGATCCGAACCCACAACCTTTTGAGTTTGCGGTCTTCACCGTACCAGTAGGCTACTGTCGCTTAATTTTTAAGAGGTTTATAAAAAATTCAAAAATATATAAAAAGCTCAGGGCTAAGCGCTCGCTGTAAAAACTAATAAATATGAAGCAAATAGTTTTTCTTACCATGTTTATTAAACTATCCTCTAATTCCTTAAATACTCTTTTTCTTGTACGCTCATAATTCTCAAATTGAAATATGCGAGCGTAATCTTCTGGTAAATTTTCTTTACAATCCCATGGCGATGTTCTAAAAGACTCTAATCCTCTGTATCTCATGAAACGCTCCCTGGCAGGAATATCCTGTGGGGTGTCCACTTCATCAGGAAATTGTTGATCTTCTTTTGCAGCTGCTAGCTTTTGAAGCATTTCATGTTCTTCCACTGTGTCTATGGTAGCATCATACTTTTCGTCAGTAGGTCCTACTTCAGAATCAGTGACAGATTGAAAGTCGTTTTCTTCTTCTTTGCCTTCTTGATCAGAATTGTCCTCTTCACATGACATAAATTCTTCATTATCCTCATCATCATCGTCTTCGCTATTGCCATCAGAAGCATCCTCCTCAGCATCGGACTCAACAATCCAAGCTGCCTGGTAATCAGACCAGCCTTTTGGTACCTTTTTAATTTTCTTTTTGGTATCCAAATTTGCCTGTTCTATTTCTTCTTCTGTTGGCCAAGTCTGTTCTGCATCCATTGGGTCAGGGACATTTTCCGAAATTAAGCTTTCTTGTTTTGTAGGATCAACAACTTGCAAAACTGTTTTAGTTACTTCTGCATCCATTGTTTCTGATTTTGCATTTTCTCTGCCTAAATTTAATGGGTGTGGATCATCAAGACCTTCTATTTTTGTCATTTGAAAATCACCAAGACCAGCTATATGAATTAAGCCATTGACATTTAAAGGCATTCCTCGTAAATATCCACTAACTTTAAGGGTCCCAAGCTCTCCTTCAGTATCAGGTAGATATTCAACTTCTTCTGCTAACATGTAAGGTCTTTTTTCTCTGTGGTGTATTATTTTACGTTTCTGGTTACCTATTTTACGTAACACATTCAACCCATCTGAACTTTTATCTAACTGCAAAACTTTTTCCTCTGGTAACCACTTTGAAATAAGCTTCTGAACATTTTGTTTCTCGGTTGTTCGTTTTTTAGGATGAACACCTTCAATATCCATAGCAACGACAACAGGCGTTGGTATGCCTTGTGCCATTGTTAAAGCCAGGGCCTTCTCACCCCATTCATCAACTGGTTCATCAAGAGCCGAACTAATAAACAGTACTGTATCAGCTACTTTGAGTGCATCTAGTAAACTGAATTCATTATCAATTTCTGGGCAAATAAAGGAAAACCGTTGCTTGAAGTTTGGTAAGCTGAAAAATTAATTGTATAACTGTATAACTTGTTTTATACATATCTAACAATAATATAATTTTAAAATTATGATGTATATTGTTTTAATTTACAAAACAAAATTGGTTTTATAAAATATGTAGATTAAAAAATTAAAGATTTAAAAAATTTGTCAGCACTAAAAGCAATACCTTTTAACTGAAATGTAATCTAAGAAATTGTAAATTTACATAAATGTCTTAATAATAGTAATAAAATTTAAACTAAAAATAATACGTCAGCGTTGAACGTTCCGGGAAGTCTGCAAATTTGTGATCATATCCTAGACGGCTCCCACCATTACATTAGTTTTGATAAGCCACAAATTTTCGCGAAAGAACATCGATTCCTGCCAAGGATGATACGTGAGGCTATGGAAATTAAAAAACATCCTAATTTCAATAGAGAGGGAGGCTGGATATGGGTACTACCACCTGCTTGGAGTCCTGTAATTAATAAAATTAAAACTAAACCCAAGCATACCACTGCAAGACTTCAAGACACAGTAAGTTCATTCTGCGTAGGTTGGACCAAAATTAATAATAAAAAAACTGATGGTACTCCGGGATAATACTTTAGAATCAATGAAAAATTTGGATGTTAAAATAATTTGCCAACAATTGTTTATTTTGCCTGGCATATGGTGTGCGGTAGCGAAGCCTCCATAGAAGCCAAGAAGCCGGGCTTGCCCTATGAAACTGCTCAATCAATAATATCAACTAATAAAATAACTCGTAAACTGTTTCAAACTATTTCAAATTCCCGCGTGCTCCTCTGTTCTACACAGGTCATGACCTTGTAGCTTTATTATGTAACGTCAACACTTGGCAGATTGCTTTCAATTCGTAATAGACTGATTTGTGTTCTCTTTGTCTCAAAACAAACACGCAATGGACTGTCAAAATTAATCGTCGCAAAACTGCGCTATACTGCCGTCATAAAAAAAGAGTTGAGTTGAGCGATTAGTCGTCTCTCTCGCACACGTGGGCTTTTTACCGCGCTTTCGAGAAGACTTTCTTCAACCTGTGGCAAAACGTTCTATAATGAATAACTACGATTGTTTATGGGGCCATAAGCTGGGTGGGTGTGAAATTAGACGAGCGCAAGGGCGCATCTTTGGCGATACTTCGCAAGTTCACTTCACATTTCAATGTTTACTCTGTGTGGTTACTTGAACGAATGAATATGGCGAGTTGAAAATTTATGCTTTTTCAAAGATTTTTAGTGAAAATGGAATATAATAGTGTTCCTTGTGATGAATTGAAGTGTGTTAAAGTGCTAATCAGCAAGGAAAAGGTAAAATCTTTAAGCTTCTTTAAATGTCCACAAGTTTGTGAATGTGCTTTCTCATCTCTGAAGCGCATCCATACTTATTTGAGAAATACACAAGGTCAAGAGCGTCTTTCAGACTTATCAATTATCACAATTGAAAAACAGTTATTGGTACAATTAAAACATTCACCAACATTTTACGCTGACATAATCAAAACTTTCCCTAAGAAAGAGAAACGATTTGATTTAGAATAAAAATAATTTGTTTTTTTTTTTAATTTTGTACATTGTTTGTACTTTGTTCATGCTTTTCTTTTCTTCATGTATTGTATGTAAATATCTTTTTCTTTCGCTCAACAATGCGAAGGTTTTGATAGCTGATATGTCATACAATCTATCTAGCAGTAGTATGCCTTCTGTGTGCTTTGTTAAACACATCCTCGACAGAACTGAATATGAAATTGAAGAGTGGAGACAAATCAAGACTGGTGTATTTTTATAAAACTGCTAAAAACAAGAAAACCATATCTTGGGCTTGCTCTAGTTTGGAGTCCTAGCTTTGCCACTGATGGTGTGATGGTATTAGCACTTCATCGACAATATGACAATATATTTAATAAATTTTCAGGCTAGACATACACAAGAATTACGCTTCCTTTTCCAATCCTGTTGTCAAAATGTGCTGTGATTACGATGAGATTAAGCATAGTAACATACATCTTTTACAATTTACATGTTTCTTTTAATTTAACCACTGAACAATAAAAACAGCCAGGATGGCTCGACGCCAGACTGTCTATACAGCCGCCACAGATGTTGATTAATTCACTGTGTTGCCGGTTTTATAACATGTTCATATTTATGGAAAAGCTTATTGATAGACAAAGCTAGATAACAAATAATTTTTAATCTATAATTTGTTGATGCATTTGAAAATATTTGAAGATATTGCCAGTGGAAAATTGTCAATTAAATCACCCCAATTCAGCGCTTGTACATTTTATCTTGTATTTAGTGTTTTCTTGTTTATTATTTGCTAAAAACACCAGAGTATCGAGCAATATAAATGATCTTCAATATTTGCATATAGTTTTGTGGGTTTTCTTTCAATTTTATTGTGAAATTAATATTTATAAATATAACTTTTTTTATGAAATTAGTGTACCCTCATATTTAAATGAGTTTATTATTTTGCTTTTAGCACTAATGTTATATTATGATATAAACTTAGGTGAGAGAAATGCTTTTATTATATTTTTTTATATAAACCACATCATTATTCCTATATAATACAAGAAAATACAAATTATATGAAACTTTTTTAGCCTGGGCAGTATTAGATAGCCACAATGGAGTTTACTATAGAGGTGATATTAATGTATTCATTTATCACATTTATTTTTACACTTATTTCAATGTACACTTATTTCAATTGTAGTTTAAATCAACACCATTATAATTTTAATTTTAGAACTGTACATATATATGATGATGCTGATGACACTTTTTAAAACGACAATTATTAAAAATTAAATATGACGAAGTAAATAATGCTATGTCTAAATTAGTAAATTGGTTTAATGTTAACAACTTGCATTTAAACGGCATTAAAACGAAATGTATGAAATTCATGACTCTAAATGTCAAACAAATACTGATGTAATTTTAAATGGGGAGGAACTGAGTCTTGTCGATACCACCATTTTTCTTGGAATAACACTAGATGCGAAGCTTCAATGAAGCCCCCATATATCAAAATTAGAAAGCAGACTTAGTTCTACAGCATATGCTGTAAAAAAGATTAGAAATCTTACCAGTGTGGAAACAACTAGACTTGTTACTTTAGCTATTTCCATAGCATAATGTTGTACGGTATTTTGCTATGGAGACATGTGACTGACACTGTAATTATATTTGTTTTACAGAAGAGGGCCATAAGAGCAATCTATAATTTAAAACTTAAAGTCTCTCTAACAAAAATTTAAGGAAATTTATATATTAACTTTGGCCTCTCAATACATTTATGAACATGTAATGTACTTACACAAAAATAAAGTTAGTTTTACAAAAATAAGGATATTCATTCTATAAATACTATGAACAGACACAAGCTAGTAGTACCAGTTATTCTACTCCACCGAGTTAGTAATTCATTCTGGAGGCAATGTATATGCTTTTACAACAAAATCCCAGAAAATATACAAAATTTAACCTGCTCAAAGTTCAAAAACTATAATAAACAGTTGGTATAAAAAGTTTTATTTTAATATTGAGGAATTTATGGATGATAATAACCCCTGGGAATGAGGTAATCACAACCAAGCTATTTCAAATTGTTTTGTGTGGTTAATTGTGATTACATGATTGTAAGCTGATATTTTAAAAAAAATGTACTGCTGGGTTTCTTGCTGGTTCTTCCCAGGACGGAGGTTTTTTTGAACCATCGGTAATTAAACAAAAGAGTGACCTTTCAATAAGTATAATTTATAATCTACATTAAATAAAAACGTTTCTGTTTCTATAACTACTGTCTATTTGTGTACCTTACTCAATTAAAAAATAAAATAATATGTCAACCACCCCATGTATAGTTTATAAAATATTGTTGAAATTACTCACCCAATATGCAAAATGCCATTTTCGGATTGGCTAACAATAGCTGTTTCAGAACAAGTCTTCAAAATTACTAAAGCAGATTGCACGTCAAGTTGTGCATTAAGCGGCACCACACAAACTAGGAACGGAGGAGTTCGAATACCGCCAAGAGCACGCTTCTTGGCCAATACTTCTTCACGTTCATTTTTACGTATTTGCATCGCTTGGTGACGACGCTCTTGTTTCTTTAATACATGTCGATTACGACGTACAAATTCTTTTACGTTTACTTTGCCTGCGAGAAGATTAAATAGTAAAATAGTTAAAATTTAAATTCAGATTTGGTTATAATTTTTACATGTTGTTGCATACCTTTTACCGCAGCAGATATACCTCGTTTCGATCTATGACGGGATTTGTGAGCTTTATTGCTCTGTTTAAGATTTCCTGGACGATGAGGTTGTTGCATTTTTGATAAATATGTTTTATTTACTGGTATTTACAAACACATGGCATGGTCGAAGTCGAACTCGAAGAGTCGTCACTTTGACATTGACATTGACACCTCTGCTAGGACCATTTTTGTTCATAACTAGCTTTACTAACTTTACAGCTCTGGGTTCTAGGTCTTCATGTAAAAATCAAAAAATCTTCATATAAAATTTTGTTTCTGTCACCTCATCTAAATTTTCATTATTATATGAAATATTTAGTTTTTCAGTAGGTGTACTGTAATTCGAATACGTAATGAATTTTGTTTTTGAGACATTCGCACGCAGATCATTGTTTTCTATATCATCAGATCATTATGGATGCTACAGAAGAATTTAACGTAATTTCGAAATCACGTACGGTAACTTCTTTATTGAGTTTTGCTATGACGATGGAACTGTCGTCGGTAAAAATTATTTAGATTGATTAAGTGTCGTAGTCGGTAAGTCATTTATGTATAATAGAAATAACAGTGGACCCAGTACACTGCCCTGGGGCACGACAATTCTATTGTGGGTAAAAGAAGATCTAAATGACGTGGCTATACTTTTCATTAATACGCGTCACTTCAACACATTGTTGCCCATTTTAGAAATATTATTTTAACCAATTTAATGCAGGCCCACGAATTCCACATCTTTCACTTTGACGTGTCGTTAAATATGGCAACTACTGGTACTTTTTTGTTGATATAACCAGTTATTCTATGTATTAAAGAAAATACGGTATTTCTTGTGGATTTTCCTTTTTGGAATCCGCTCTGTTCTTTACGGAGAATATTATATTTTGACAAGTAGTTGTAAATTCTACTATGCATCGCCTTCTCAAATATTTTAAAGGTAATGATCACATTTTTCATGGAGCGGTTTTACAATTGAGCTTTTTAGTTTTTCGGGAAATGTGCCCTGTGTAAACGATACATTTACGAGTTTTACAAGAATTGGACCTGTAATATTAGCGCAATCCTTTAGTATATGAGTAGAGACTGAATCATTACACACAAACTTAGACGTAGACTGTATTGTTTAAGGATTTAATTATTCTCATGATTTCATTTACTGAGCACGGTCGTAAAAATATGCTATACTCGAAGTTGTCCAAGCGCGTCCTATGTTTCTGTATTTTTTATCAAGTTTTATGTCACTGATGTTAATAAAATTTTTATTAAGCTTTTCTGCAATGTCTTTAGGATTTATAATTTTTATACCGTCACTATTTATCCTATCAATGTCTTTGTTGTTTGTACAATTATATTAATTATTTTTAATAATGTCCCAGGTTGTCTTACATACTTTTATTTTCTTTCTTTTATACTACTCAAGTAAATGTTCGCTGCAACCCATCCAAATAACCTTAACCATTATTTCTAATTATAAAATCCCGAGAGAATCTGTTCGATGGGCAAAATGAAATTACATTTATAGAACGCAAATCGAGGATTTATTTTCTTGTTGTGTGGGCAAGTCTATCGATTAAATATAAACATTCAAGATAAATATTGACATTAATTTTGATATAGTTGAGTCAATCCCTAGCGTACATGTAAAATATTTTTTATAAAAATGTATTTACCAAATTTATGCAAATTATTAACAACGTGACTTTTTCTTTGAAAAATATTAAAATTAACAAATTAATTGAAAATATTCTACATCTTAAACAGTATATAACATAAATTTTAACCAAAAATAAACGCTTCATAACATTGACGATGTCTTGAGAATTTACCTATGAAATGTGCAATTATCAGGATTATTTCTATTATTAACACAACAGTCACTCACAAAACAAGTAACCGTTTTGGAAAGAAGTTACTTACTAAAAGTAATATATTTGAAGTAAGTAACTTTTAATAATAATATGTAATAACCACTATTACACTCTAAAAAATTACAAAATATCTAGGAGCTTATTTCTTCCGTGCCGACTTGTGCCGACCTGTCATTCAAAATCGGTTACAGAGTCAAAGATTTGGTATCCTTTTCTATCTTGCAGTTTTGCCATAAGGAATTTTCTTCTCCCTTTCTCCTTTGCACACTATGTCGGTCTATACGCCAGTATATTCGAAGTCTAGGGCAAAGAGAATTATCTACACTACGTTTAAGAGGCGGGACTTCCAAAGAAAACGTAATTGTATGACATTGCGCCAAGCTACTCTACCAACATCAAGACGGACATTTAATTTTTGACAAACGGTGCTGACAGCATAAGCGAATTATAACAGTGCTGTAATATATTGTTTATCGAAATTCTTACATAATAAAAGTTACATCTCTATACTGAAATATTTATGAGCAATACTTCTTTTACCTGTGGATTGAGTAAAAATGCCCATTTAGATAAGAAATAAATGTATTTTAGATAAAGCAGTTTGTAATAATATCTCTACAATTGTTAGGTACAAAAATATGTATAAAGAAAAAATAAAATAAAAAACGCACTATTATGCTAGTAATTATTTAAGTAAAAAACAAATGACGACTCCATGGCGCAGTGGCTAAGCGTTTGGCTGCAGCATTGCAGTACCGAGGGTTCGTTCCCGCACTGAACAAGTGTTGCTATGCTGTAAAAGAAATAGTCTGCGTCTGAATGCTTGTTTTCAACATTAGTTTTTTTAAGGGTAAAAATATTGGGTATTTTAATACTGATTGGATTAAATTGCCTTTAAGTGTAGCAACTATGTACAAATCGCTAGGCTTCTTCATAGAGGTACTTATGTACATACTACTCGCAGAGATCGTTCACTAACTGTCGCTTTCAAAATGAGTGCTCATTTTTGTAGTTAATATTTGTAGATGAATGTATAAAAAAAATTATTTACAATCAGGTAATTACAAATAACTTTGAGTTTAGTTATACTATCGAACTCTTACCAATATGTGACTTTAGAGGGATATTATCTTTTGCTACATGTAAATGAAACCTAATTAACATACACATAATAGTGGAAGTTTAAATTAAATCCACTGATGAAATAACAGTTCGTTTTAGTTGGGTTGCTCGTGTCGTATAGAAATTATTTTAATAAATTAATTTTGTTCAGAAATGAATATATAATAATAATAATAGTTTATAAATCCTGGATATCATATTTCAACCACCGTTTCATGATCATGCCAGATTTTCGAATTTTAAATGAACAAAAATATTATTATTTTTCGCAGGTACATTAATTATTAATGGACCTGCAAAAAATAATAATATTATTCATTTAAAATCTGAATAAAAGAATTCAATATGATATCCAGCAGGATCGAACATGCTTATATAACTTACCATTTGTGATCAATTATGTGCAGAACGTTCCTATATACCAATTAATAATAGATAAGTATTGATTTTCAAAACAGTTTATTTAATTTTTACTCAACTAATCATTACGATTTTATATATAATAACACTATAATACGGGATCAAGGATCTCCATCCCATCTCCATACCTTTGTTTACTGTACAATAATATTGTACAGTAAACAAAGGTATTTGGTATACAAGAAAAAATGGTCATTTTCCCACTACTCTGCCAATATTCATTTTTATTGTATGCGTTATAACTTTTTAACTTTGTTCACATTGATATAAAACAAAACGTGTGTGTGTACTTATGTACGCATGTAAGAAGTTATTCTTCTTTAGCGTAACAAAACAAAAATATCTAAAATAAAATACACACATATATATATATATGAATACATTCATATATATTTGAATAACTACCTCGAATTAGTTATCAGTTCTCACGAAAACTTAACAATTGACAGACAATTTCCAACTGAAGTTGTAAAAAATTCACTCTCATCATTTCACTCAAACACGCCAAAAGAAGTACAATTTCAAAACTTGTGTAAGTACTTAGCGCACTAAGAACATTGTTTAAAACAAGTTGCAAGTTAGCTGCCTGCATACTTAACTCATTGTTTAACTTTGTACCTAACACAAAAAATCTGTAGCAGAGTATGCATTGCGTAAGTGTACATATACGGTGAAGCCTGGGGAAGCAGCTCAAGCGAAATTTAAGGGATATCAATCCAAAACTAATTTAACAACCCAACATTGCTTCATGTAATTGAAAAATTTGTTTGCTCGACAGCAAAAACCACGCAATGGATATTGTCAAACTGTCAAGTTGATATGGTTTGCCATTTTAGGTGTGTTATGCAATTAGGCTAAGGATTTAATTTCTATCTACACTAAAGCCATAAAACTGTCAGACACATTATTTATTACTTACTCAGATAAATTATTTGACGATTGAAAATTCAGCCCTTAATCGATATAAACACCTACGAAATAAAGTTAATTAAGCAAAAAATTCAATTATATGAAATAAGAACAAACTCATAATAATAAAAATATCGATATCAGCTGCCCATATTGCTGAGTTACAACCCTAATTTATATTATAATTATATATATATATATATAAATATTGTCAGACGTATGTTAAATAGCACATCTCAAAAATATTAATTATTTAAACTGCACCCATGTAGTTTAGAAATGAAAAATAGTTAAAGACCGTTCAAGGTGAATATAACGTCGATATTACTTTAAATAATTATAATTGGGTACTTTTTACAGTCTAAAAAAACTGCACCATCGTTAAAAATGCATTAAATGCAATGATAAGCTCAAGACTTTACTAAAACAATATTTGTAAAATGTCCATTGCGTGCATTCGTGTGTGACGGGTCATAGATTTTATATGTACTTCTTACGTTCTGGAAACGGAATTCCGTATGTATGTGGCAGACCTAAGAAAACACATGTCGCTAACACCTGGTATTTCAAATAAAAAATTGATACACTCATACAGTAGTATAGATATTAGTTTCATAACCTAACCGCAAAAAAAAATATGATTTTTCATTTCTTTAACCTTTATTCTTGTAAGAAAACCTTTGTCTAAATATTTAACGCCTGATGGGGACGAAATGGTTATACCGTCATATAGCGGAATTCATAAGATTTGCCTGG